AAAATCAGAAACCACAAACAAGGAAATAAATAAAAGAACGAGTCAAAATTTCATCATCCTAGAGACAACTGCTATGTGGGAGAGAATAGGAGGAGAGGAGAAATGTATATGAATTTATTAGTACTGATTAGGGAAAGGATAGTCTTGATAAGATTTTTGGAGGGACACATAGAAGATCAAATGAATTTGATGGGAATCTAGGAAGGATAGCTTGAAATAAATGAAGAATTACTTTGAAGTAGATAAACTGATCTTCCTACCTCACATTAAAGTACAATTCATTCATTTAATTTGCTAGCCCCAAATCTGGATGAATTAAGCGTCCATTCCTAAGCCTTATTTCCAGCTTTATTTTCTTCTACACCTCCATTGCCGCCAAATTATGCTCCACATGCTCCCTCCAAATTTGTCCCTAACATTCTCTTGACTTTATGTCTATCTATACACAAGTTATTTATTATAATGAATGCCACTAATCATTTTCTATTGAAATATGTCCACCATTCAAAGCTCACCTGAAATGCTTCCTTCTCCATCAACTCTTCACTTTCCACCCCACCCCTACCACCCAGTACAAGGACTCTCTTCCCTTTGAACCTCCATCACACTGTTTTGTGGATGGCTTCTGTATTCTGGCAGTGCGGAAAGGGGACAGAGCAGAGACTTTGCAATATGTGACAGTACTTTGTAAACTGAAAAGCGTTGTACAAATATATGATGTTACTGTGTCTCATCCTCAGCACTAGATTATAAGCTCCTTTAGGGCAGAGACTATATTTTATTCAACCTTTGTCCCAATTGCCTAACATAGTTATTTAATAAATATTTGTTAAATAGCATATAGTAATTCTTTTCTGCTTTCTCTTGTATTGATTCTTTAGGAGTGGCCATAAGTTTTAAATAAACGCTTCTTGTCTTTGTTAATCTATTATCCACTAATTTTGCAAAAGACTCTGTGCAATCATGGAAGAGATTAAGATACGCATCATCCCTAATGAGTTTGTGAGGTTTTGGTATATAAAGTAGTTTATTTCCAGGCATAATACTCTTTGATGAGCAGATAGTGAGGAATTTTCCTGGGCCTGTAGGCTTGGACCAGTGTACAGATTAGTGGTCAGCATAGGTGAGACTCACTATGTAAGGCCTTCCATAAGACTTCTATAATACGGGCAGAGCTGCCCAAACTCCAATGCAGACACTAGTCCTCTGAGTGGCACATTCCAGATATCTGCACTCACTTTGGGCTATCAGCTGCATATTCTCTCATACCTCAGACCTTGTTTTACAGTGCCACCAGAAGATCTTCCCTACCTTCAGTTGTCATAGAAGATAACGAATTTCTTCCATGCCAGCATTTCAGATTATCTTATCCCTTACATCCTTTACGGACAGGTGGAGCCCAACATAAAATGAAGATGCTTGGCTCTCTCAGTCTCCTAGCCGTTTCTGGACCATGTTGGACAACTAGTCAAATAACATAAATTTTAGTTTTTAAAATGTGAGTTCTTAGGGAGGAAGGTTTGAGAAAACTCACTATTAGATACAGAATTATATTGTTAGACTTATTCATCATAAAATTTGTTTCTTTTCCTTTTTTTTTTTTTTGTGAGGAAGATTAGCCCTGAGCTAACATCCGATGCCAATCCTCCTCTTTTTGCTGAGGAAGATCGGCCCTAGGCTAACATCCGTGCCCATCTTCCTCTACTTTATATGGGATGCTGCTACAGCATGGCTTAACAAGCGTTGCATTGGTCTGCACCCGGGATCCGAACCTGCAAACCCCAGGCCGCTGAAGCGGAATGCGTGAACTTAACCACTACACCACTGGGCTGGCCCCCGTAAAATTTCTTTATACACTTGCATTCATTCATGCATCTGTATTTACAGAAACATGTTCGCTTCTGCAGAAACCATTCCCTTCAGTTCAGTTCCCATTTATTGAGTCTTATTTTGTGCCAGACACCCTACTAGCTCCTGAGGATAGAGAGTTGAATGAACTGAATCCCTGGTCTTATGGAACTTGGAGACACCTTCTGATATGCCCAGGAGCTCACAGTGAATTGAGAAGACAAATAATTGTAATTCACCATGAGATTGTAGACACAAAGTACAACAGTAGTTCAGAGGAAAGCAGCATTATCTCAATCTAAGAGAATCAGGGCAAGCTTCACAAAGCTTGTGAGAGCTTTAAAGGATAAGTAGGGGTTCAGCAGGCAAATGGTGGGGGTGAGGGCATTCCAGGCACAGGGAACAGTCTGTGCAATGGCACAGAGGGGTAAAGTTGTGTGGCAGTTTGGAGGTACTATAGTAAGTAATGTATGAATGCCTCAGGGGATGTGCAAGACAATCAGTTGGAGTACCAGGCAAACAAAAATCCAAAAATTCTACACAGTCTTTCGATGAGGTTATAAGGAAATAGGTGAACTTTCCACTGATGGTGCGAATGTAAATTGGTACAGCCCCTAGGGAAGGCAATTTGAAATAGCTATCAAAATTACACAAATGACTTTTGATCCAGTAACTCCTCTTATTATAATTTATTATATATATGTATATTTGAACACTCACAAAATGACATACATAGATACACAGTGTAGGTTTTTCATTGGAGTATCATTTGTAATACTTTTGGGATTCATCCGTGTTATTGCACATATTGGTTTTTCGTTCCTTTTTATTGCTGAGTAGTATTCTATTATATAGATGTACTCCTCCAATTTGTTTATCCATTTACCAATTGATGGGCATTTAGTTTCTTTCCAGATTTCAGCTATTATGAATAAAAATTTGCTTATTGGTCTTTGTGGTGTTTTCATTTCTCTTGAATAAATACATAGGAATGAGATTGCTGGGTTGTATGGTAAGCATACGTTTAAGTTTATAAGAAACCATTGAACTGTTTTTTTAAATTGGCAGTACCATTTTGTATTCCCACCAGCAATTTATGAGAGTTCTACTTGCTCTATATCCTCATCAGCACTTGTTATTGTCAGCTGTTTAATTTTAGACATTCTAGTAGCTGTGTAGAGGTATCTCATTGTCATTTTAATTTGCTTTTCCCTAGCACTTAATGATGGTGATCCCCTTTTCCTATGCTTATTTGCCATCCATATTTCTTCTTTGGTGACGTGTCCAAATCTTTTGCCCCTTTTTATTAGATTGTTTGTCTCCTTATTATTGACTTGTAAGGGTTCTTTATATATTTGGGATACAAGTCTTATGTGGTTTGGAAACATTTTCTCCCAGTCTGTGGCTTTTCTTCTCCCTTTCATAGTAATGTCTTTCAGAAACCAAAAGTTTTTAATTTTTATGGTCTAATTTATTAATTTTGTATTTTATGGTTCATGCTTATTGTGTCCTAAGAAATCTTTACCTAAACCAAGGTCACAAAGATTTTCTTCTATGTTTCCTTATAAAATTTGTATAGTTTTGGCTCTAATATTTAGGTCTATTATTCTTTTGGAGTTAATTATTTATGCATGGTATGTATATATTAATCTTCAATAAAAAGTTTTTAAAAAAGTCCCAACTATTGCTGACCTTTATTTTGATAAGGGACTATTAGTATTACTTTACCTAGTGGATACTTAAAAATATTCACACATTTAATCTGTCAGTTCATTTCTACGGTCATGCATCTCTTAACAAAGGGGATACGTTCTGAGAAATGCATCATCAGGCGATTTCATCGTTGTGCGAACATCATAGAATGTACTTACAGAAAACTAGATGGTATAGCCCACTACACATTTAGGCTATATGGTATAGCCCATTGCTCCTAGACTAAAATCCTGTACAGCATGTTACTGTACTGAATACTGTAGGCAATTGTAACATAATGGTAAGTATTTTTATATCTAAACATAGAAAGGGTACAGTAAAAATATGGTATGAAAGATAAAAAATGGTGCACCTGTACAGGGCACTTACCATGAATGGAGCTTGCAGCACTGGAAGTTGCTCTGGGTGAGCCAGTGTGAGTGAGTGGTGAGGGACTGTGAAAGCCTAGGACATTACTGTCCACTACTGTAGACTTGATAAACACTGTACACTTAGGCTACACTAAATTTATAAAAAAGTATTCTTATTTCCTCAATAATAAATTAACCTTAGCTTACTGTAAATTTTTTACTTTATAAACTTTTTAATTTTTTTAACTTTTTGACCCCTTTGTAATAACACTTAGTTTAAAACACAAACACTGTACAACTGTACAAAATATTTTCTTTCTTTATATCCTTATTCTATAAGCTTTGTTCTGTTTCTAAAATTTTTTTTTACTTTTTACACTTTTTTGTTAAAAACTAAGACACAAACACACATATTAGCCTAGGCCTACACAAGATCATCAATATCATTGTCTTCCAGGAAGGTCTTCAGGGGCAATAACGCACATGGAGCTGTCATCTCCTGTGATAACATGCCTTTTTCTGGAATACCTCCTGAAGGACCTGCCTGAGGCTCTCCTTGAGGAAGCTTCACTTTTCAGAAATATGTCCATGGTGGTTTGCTTAGTTTGTTTCTTTTTTTCATCATAGATTTGCTTGTAAGCAGATAATTCACCATGAATGTTCCTTTCTATTAGTGAAAACCATTCGGTGTTGGGGTCCACGTTTTCAAACTTTATAATGAGTTTGTTGAGGTCTGCAAAAGCCTCACTAAGCCTTTCACTGTGAATTTTCTTGCAGGTTCTTCTCTTTCTTCTGCAGTTTCCTTTTCTCTTGCCTCTTCTTCAGCTGTGCATTCCTATTCCAGTTCCAACAACTTCTCATTAATCAAGTCCTCAGGAACCACCCCTAGGAGCTCCTCAATGTCATCCTCATGCATACTCAGGTTAAAGTTGTTTGCCATCTCAACCACAGCCTTGTTGATTTTTGCAGCCTCCTCATCCTCGGCAAATCCTTTGAAGTCATGGATGAACCTCTGAGTGTCTTTCATAGGCTCCTTGGTGACATCACCCCAAGCCCAAGCAAGGCTCTTGATGCAGTAATAAATGTTGTAATCCTTCCAGAATTGCATCAGTGTCTTCTCAGTGTCTTCCTCAGTTGTAGCAACAGCCTGGGCAAAAGTCCTCCTCAAGTAGTAGGCTTTAAAAGCTGCTATAACTCCTTGATCCATTGGTTGGATCAAAGAGGTGGTGTTTGGAGGGAGAAACACAACTTTGATATTGGGATGAAGATCACCAATAAAAGAAGGACGTCCGGGAGCATTATCGACAGTAAGCAAAATCTTGAAAGGTATGTTGTTATCCAAACAGTACTTCTCCATTTTGCTGGCACAGCAATTCTGGAGGGCATGTTGGAAAAGGAGCTTGGTCATCCTTGACTTCTTATTGCTCCTATAATCTGCTGGCAGTGTGTACTTATTGATATGCTTGAAGGCCTTGTGTTCTCACTGTGCCAGATCACAAAGGGTTTCAATTTATAGCCTGCAACATTGTCCCCAAGCAAGACTGTTATCTTGTCCTTAAAACCCATGAAACCTGGCATTGACTTGGCCTCTTTACAGATGAAAGTTTTCAGAATACGGAGGTACATCGGTATTGAATATTTGCCCTGGCAAGTAACTTTCCTCCACAATCAGCTTATCTAGAGTTTCCAAAAACTCTCCAGCTGCTTTCACATCAGCACTCACAGAATCACCACTTACTTTTACATTATGTAATGAATAAAAATTCTTGAATCATTTAAACCACTCAGAGCTAGCAGTAAATTTAACATCATAATTGGGTTCAGCCTTTTCTTTCAGTATCACAAACCAACTTTTTGCTTTGGCCGTGATCGTCATAGTGCTGAGAGGGATAAGCTTCTGTGTCCGGTCTTCAATCCAGGTCATTAGAAGTTTCTCAATGTCTGACATAGGCCCTTCTTGAATTTTTGTTAGTCTTGTTGCCTTCAATGAAGCAGATCCTTTAACAGTTTCCATCACTTTGTTCTTGTTCTTCAAGATTGTAGCTATGGTGGAATGGGACGTGACTGACCTGCAGGCAATAACCATCACTGATTTTCCACCTTCATAGTCCTTAATCACTTTTAATTTTGTTTCTAGGTCAGTCACTTGATGTGGCCTCTTGCTGGCAATATTAGCAATGGATTTTGTGTGCTTAGGGGCCATGATGAACAAAACAACACAAGAGTAAATCAAGCACAAGAGAAAATGACGCCATCAAGAGATGTGGTAGACATGAGATGTATGAGGCGGCTGTTGGCATAACACAGCACACAGTTTTACAGTAAACTTTTTTTTATAAATAGAAAGAGTGCACTAAAATAACTATAAAAAGTATAGTACAGTAAATACACAAACTAGTAACATAATCATTTACTATTATCACCAAGTATCGTGTGCTGTACATAATTTTATGTTATACTTTTATACAACTGGCAGCGCAGTAGGTTTGTTTACACCAGTCCCACAACAAACACATGAGTAATGCATTGCACTATGACATTATGATGGCTATGACGTCACTAGGCAATAGGAATTTTTCAGCTCCATTATAATCTTCTGGGACCACTGTTGTATATGTGGTCCATCATTGAGTGAAACACCATTAGGTGACACGTGACTAATAACATTCTAACAATATATACAAAAGTAGTCTTTTTCAAAAAAGAAACAAAAGTATTTTGAAAACAAATGTTTGAAATAATCACTTAATTTTATTTTTGAAATAGATATGAATATATCATCCATAAAAATTCTCATATCTCCACACACTTAGAAAACTTGGAAACAGATTTTTCTAACTTATTTTAAAGCCTTCTACTTTAAAATGAAGCACTTCAGTGGGATTCAAACATTTGTTTAAAATTCAAAAGTATAGCAGCTTTCAATTACTTGTCAAGCACAGTTAATTGACACTAGGAAAGGTGGAAATTTACTAACTGATTTTCAATAAAACTTTTGAATAAGTGGATGGAATTGAAAAACGAGTATTGAATCTACATATCTTTGTGAGGTATCTTTTTTTAATAAACAAGTATCAAAATAAGCTGATCTTACAACTCAACTTTTGGATTGCTGTATCAAAAAGTGATAACCCAAGATTTTAAAAAACAATTATGCATATTCACTTAGCACTCACCAAAAATACTATTAATAGCAAAAGCAAAAAGAATTTTCTATACCATTAATAAAAGAAAATAAAATGAGTTTTAAATTATTTGTTTCTGCTTTATATCACATGATAAAATGTTTGTCTATATTTTGTAACATACATACATACATAATTTATAAGTATATAAATATATAATAATTAGTTGTATCCTTGAACAAATTACTGAATCTCTCTGGGTTCCTGTATTCTCATCTGTAAAATGAATGGTTTTGATTACATAATCTGCTCAACTTGCTTGAACATTCTTTGATTTTATAATTATATGTCTAGAGATTCTTTTCTTGGCCTGTATGTCTACATTTTTTAAAATGATACTATCATGAGGCTTCTTTCACATGTTTAAAAACATTTAAGACCTACATTTTTTTGAATTTCCGACAGATTATTTCCCCCTGCTTGAGGTCAATTCCAAAGTTACACAAGTATCCTTTGAGGTAAAAAAAATTTTTTTTTCCATCGGGGAATAGCGGAGGCAAGGAGACCAGTTAGATAGCACCACTATGATTGAGGAAAGAGAAGAGGGATTTACTTAAGATAGTGGGGGAAAAGAAAAACAAATATGGGGAATGACAGAGGAATTTATTTTGAAGGAAGAAATGACAGAACCAGGTGATAGGGTGAGATATAAAGAATTTTGTAGATAGAAGAGTTAATTTAGAAGATTCTAGTTCAGGATTAGAAGGGTGATATTATGGACAGATTTAGGAACAGATTAAAAAGATGCCGGTTTGTGATAAGAAAATGTTGAGCTCAGTTGCAAAAGTTAAAGTAACTTTGGTACATCCAGTTATGATTTTTCCCTACTTTTTTATTAAAAAATAAATCACTGATTAGGGGAAAAATAGATTAATATCGCTGATGGATAAAGGTCATTTACAAGTCAAAACCCTACAAATAGCAGCGGAGCATTGTCTGATATAGTGCCAGAAGGTGAGAGGATGGCACAAAAAGACCAGGCAGGTTCCGCTCTGCTGTGCACAGGGTCACTAGGAGTCAGAATTGACTCATGGCACTAACAACAACAAATCAATAGAAAAATACATTTACAATAGAAAAATGGGCAAAGACAATGGTCAGGAATTCACTGAAGAAGACACCTAAATGACCAATAAGCGTGAAAAATGCTCAACCTCATAAATAACTTAAGTGTGAAATTAAAATATTAATAACTTGTGATATAGATTATCCGGATAGGCTTTAGCTATAATTGTGTTGCTTCTTTGGATCTTTTCTCCTATAGAGTTAGATTTGAACGTGCTTAGAATATACATCGAAGCTGTGACTTATGTGCTCTGGCTTACAGAAAGGAGAACCTGAGAAGACGAGGGAGGCTGGCAGCCTGGCTGGAGCACAGCAAGTTGATATGACACAGCAGGTGGTCCAAGAATGTGCTGAGAAGAGCTGACAGTTGGAGGAATTAATGATGACTACATTAAGTGCAAAAGATAATCTTTTGCAAATTGAAATGGTATATCTCATTTCTAAAGATGAAGAAAAAGTAAAATATATCCCCTTAAACCAGCTAGCTAGGGGTTCATTAACATAGTAATCCCAACATATCTGGAGAAGTTGAGAAAGCACCAGATAAATATTGAAAAGCACCAGGGTGCAGAATCTTAGGAACATCAGCACAGAATATCAAGTTTGTCATGTACACTCTAATATCCAAGAAATGAAATTTCATTTGAAGATCCTAGAGGATGCCTTAGGAATGCAGAAGAGAATGATAGAGCCTGTTAAAGAAAAAACATCAGGAGGAAAAGTAGAATTTCTCCAACTCCGTTTGGAACCCACAGAAGAAATTAAGGAACAAAATGATGATGAAACTTCATTTTAGCAGCTTCATGACTCTTTGTGGTATATTTTATGACATCTTAATCTTCATAATAGTAGTGCAGTTAATTTTCTCCTCCTGTATATAGTGCTGATTATTTACATGTTTTTAGTGAGTATCTGCTATTCTAACTGAATAAAGCTTAGAATCCTAGGTGTTCCTCTTCAACTTGCAGGCTAAAATTTCTGAAGCCATGTTACCATGGTATGTAGGATGGAGAGGTAGTGCTTCATTCAGAAGCAATTTTTTGTTAGGCCTCCTGGTTTTCACAGAGGACGTCAGACTTCTGAATTGTTTGATAATATACGTGAGTCTATATTTAAATACAACAGAAAATCTGGAGTTCGGGTAAGGGTCAAGCATTATACATTTACTCACTGTTTACTGAGATGTTATCAATGTCTTAGCTGAGAGAAGTAATGGTTTGGGAAGACTGACCAGAGAATTTATACTCTGTAGAGGGTGCTGTGGTGTGCTGCCCAGAGCACTCATTTCCCCAACTGCCCTCACTCTTGACTGCTGATGGCTCATGGTCCCTCTCTAGGAATTGCCCTCAGCAGAAGATGCTTTGCCCAAGGTTACACATGTCTCCAGAGACAGCTTGCAGCCAGTTACTGGTTAGGATGGGAACACAGGTCTCCTTCCCTCATCTCTGAAGTGGATCCAGCTCCAGAGCTCGGAAGATTGACCGAGCCCTCTCCAGCAGCTGCATCTGGGTTCAACTTCCTCTGTCGACTTGACTTCCCTGGCACCCCTAGAGGTGCTGCTCCAGAGTGTACCCCTACAAACCTCCAGCATGCAGATCGCCATCCCAGATGCTATTTCCAGAGAACCTGAATGAAGACATACTCAGAATATTCTTTCAGATATTGTCAGCTCAATCCCTGGATCTAGCTAGATGGTAAGAGAGGTGGCTTTCTTGGTGACTTAATATTGGCTACCCTAGAATTGTTTAGTTTAATTTGCCCGGAGGGGTCTTACATCTGCCTTTGTGGGGTGATGCTATAAAGAACAGCCCTGTGAAACTTGTCATTATTTCTACTCTAAACTTTTTTTTTTTTAAATCATTAACAAGATTTCTTTCTTTCCATTGTTTTGTAACAGCTTTATGAGGTATAACTGACATACAATAAACTGCACGTATTTAAAGTGTACAACTTTTGACATAAATATATACCTGTGAAATCATCATCACAATCAAGTATGTGCGTGTGTGTGTATATTTTCAAATATTTTCTCCCAGTTTTTGGCTTGTCTTTTCATTTTCTTAACATGTTTTTCAAAGAGCAGAAGTTTTTAGTTTTGATTAGTCCATTTAGCAATAGGTCAAACAGGTTCTCTCCTATGTTTTCTTCTAGAAGTCTTATGGTTTTAGGTTATACATTTAGGTTTGCAATTCAATTTGAATCAATTTTTCATGTGGTGTGAAGTATGGATTCAGTGTGCTTATTAAGATAGTTAGGTTTAAATCTATCATCTTGTTACTTGCTTTCTATGTCCCACCTATTCTTTGATCTTTTTTCCTCTTTCTGTCTTCTTTTGGATTAAATATTTTTATAATTCGATTATATTTCTTTTGTTAGCTTATTCACTATAACTTTGTTTTGTTATTTTAGTAGTTTATTTAGAATTTATAATATAGCATCAATAACTTGTCATAGTCTACCTTCAAGTGATATTACACAACTTAATACATAGTATAAGAACTTTACAATAACAATCTTGCCTCTGGGCTTTTATGCCACTGTCATGATACATTTTACCTGTATATGTTACAAACCCCACAATACATTGTTATTATTTTTATAGACACAGTTGTCTCTTAAAGAGATTTAAATAATAAGAAAAAAATGATATATTTACCCAAATTGCTGTTTCTTGTGCTCTACATTCCTTTGTAGATCCATATTTCATCAAGTATCATTATCCTTCTGCCTGAAGGACTTTCTTTAATATTTCTTGGAGTGTGGGTCTGCTGGCAATAAATTCCTTTTATATGTTTGAAAACATCTTTATTTCACTTAGTTTTAAAAAGATATTTTCACTGGTGTAGAATTCTAGACTGAGAAGTTTTAACTTTCAATACTTTAAAGATATTACTCCACTGTCTCTTGGCTTGTGTTGTTTCTGATGATAAATCTGCTGTTATCCCTCTCTTGGTTTTGCTGGGTGTA